CTACTGTTAAAGTGCTCATGAGGTGAGTAACCTCGGGAGAATACTTGGGAACTGGGTGGGGAGGGTTATCCCCCTTCTGCTGGAAGCACAGGATGGTAGGCATGCTCAGGCTTCTGCTCCCCTTCTTCCATGATCTCTTCTCATCCTGCATCAGGTGTTCATCCAGCAAGGCAAAGGTGTGAAGGGAAGGCTCACTCAGTCTCCTCTGAGGAGGAAGGGAAGTGAAAGCATCTACTGGTGACATGGCAACACAGGCCTGCATAGGCTTCACAGCATAGTTAGTGTGGTCCTGGGCTGACTCGTGCTTTAAAATTAGGTACGTGGCCATGATGTTATTGAATTTTTTCTCACGTATACAATCACTAATATCCTTGGGATCGTAGCCCATGCCCCACATAGCCACCACAAGGCTGGGGTTTGGGATGGTACTGTATGTCTCTGAGGATAGTGGGAGTTGCCAAAATTCTTCTCTGTCCTTGAACCACTGGTGCTGCATAATGTCACTTATCCTGGGTCTCTGCTCAGGCATCATAGTGAATAACTGCACAATGAGGTTTACAATGTTTTGAGAAAGTGTGGAAGGAAGGTAGTAGCAGGGATTCAGCATCTCCTCCTTCATGTCTGAATAGGTCCTTGCTTTGAATGGGAAGGATGCTGTCACCATTGTATATAACACCACTCCCAGGCTCCAGATGTCCACCGCCCTTGCATCATACTCTGTGTCAGTGAAGAGTTCTGGAGCACAATATTCAAGCGTGCCACAGAATCCCTTGGACCTCTGCCCAGAGGTGACTCTGATGGCCAGGCCAAAGTCACACAGCTTGACACTTCCTTTGCCATCCAGCAGGATGTTATCTAGTTTGATGTCCCTGTGTGCAATGCCATTCTTATGGCAGTAGTGAACAGCACACACAATCTGAGTGAAGATGTGCTGGGCCTGCTCCTCCTGCAGACAGCCCACTTTCTCAATATGGCTCACCAGATCTCCCCGAGAAGCATGCTCCATCACCATATAGATATGCTCTTCGGTGTTGATGATGTGGAACACCTTGATGATGTTTGGGTGGTCCAG